TATATTTTGTTGCAGCTTTTTACTGAGACATGTCCAAACAAAACTGGAAACACAGTGTATAAGACTATTCTAATAAGCTTGAAAGTCTTGAAACTTGAACTCCATCAAGTTTAACAAGCTCTCAAACACCACTGGTTGACAGAGCCTGTACCATGTTTTACAGATGGCAGTAGATACTCCCTGCTGTACCTCTAAGACCTATTTCCACTGATTTTCAGTCCAATTTTTGTGCAGTTTAGCATACCTCAGCCTTTGACATGACTTTTGGAAAATGTCCATCTGATGTAGATAGGCCTGACATTTCTTTCTTTTTTTTTGACCTCCACTTTCCTAAAAAACAATTTAAGCAAAAAATGCACATTGTGCCCAGATAGACCGGGTTTTTGACTAACAGCTCTTTGGGAAGCACCTTATCACTTGATCATTAACAGAAATATCTAATCAGCCAATCACGGCAGCAACTCAAGGGGGGGTAAGTTTTCGGACATTGCTCACTTACTGGAATTTTTCCACACGACCACAGAGAATGGTAAGAAAAAGAGAAAATATCCAGTGAGCAGCAGTTGTTGTCGAAGGTCAGAGGAAAATGGCAACATTGCTTTGAGTTACTAGGATGGTAAAAGTAACTGAAATAACTGCTTGTTACACCCAAGGTATGAAGACAGAATCTTGAACACAACATGCTGAACCTTGAAGCAGATGAGCACACTGGGTGCTATGCATGTCAGCTAAAATCAGAAAACTGAGGCTACACAGGCTCACCAGACCTGGACAACAGAAGATGGGAAAATCATCGCTTGTTCTGATGACTGTCGATTTCTGCTGCAACATTCAGATATTAGAGTCAGAATTTGGCATAAAAAATGGAAACATGGATCCATCCTACCTTGTATCAAGAGTTCAGGCTGGTGGTGGTTGTATAAAGTTGTTGGGGAATTTTTTTAAACACATTTTTGGTCTCTTAGTACCCACTGAACATAACTTGAATTCCAGAGCCTGTCTGATTGTTTTTGCTTACAACGTATGTTCTTTTATGTTCTCATCTTCTGACGGCTGCTTCCAACAGGATAACACACTCAAATAATCTCAAACTGGTTTCTTGAACATGACAATGAGATCTCTGTATTCAGATGGCCTCCACAATCACCACATCCCAATCCAATGGAGCAACTTTGGGATGTGGTGGAACGCTGAAAAAACAAACCAAAAATCCTACAGAAAAATCAAAATAGGGAACTTGATTTAATAGATTTTTTAATATATTTTCACATAACCAAGCTTATTGTTAAAGAGAACATAAT